TCAGTCAGCCTTCCTGTGGTTTTGGATGATGTCCATTCTGTTCTTTTAGTTGTATTTTTGAAGTGGTTGTTCGCGGCAGCAAACTCCGGTGTTTACCTATGCCGCCATCTTGGTTTCTCACAATGTACATTTTAAATACCATGTAATTTCATTTGTCAATTACACCCCCAATAAAGCTGAAAAAAAAAAGCGTCTAAAATTGAATTAGAAATTCCTTCATTCCACTACCACTAAAACTTCACCCTTTAGAAATCACCATGGTAATCGATGAGAGAGAAACATCGATCAGCTGCCTCCTGCACATCTCCCACTGGGGATGTGCCCGCAACCCAGGTACATGCCCTTGACCGGAATCGAACCTGGGACCCTTCAGTCCGCAGGCCGACGCTCTATCCACTGAGCCAAACCGGTTTTGGCTATAAAAGTGATTCTTAAGCTTTATTTTTGCTCTCAGCATTCACCTTGAGTGATCTCATTCATGCCATGACTTTGAACATCACTTATAGTTTGATGTCTTTCAAATCGCAGTCTCCTGAATTCCAGGAACTGGTAACAAAGTCTACTGGAAATGACACCCATATATCAGTCAGGCACCAAAACATACGTCTAAAACCAATTTTTTTATCTCCCCACGATCTGCTCAACTCCCACTTCTAGTTACCAGTTCATATAAAATGTGTGTTCTAAATTTATACAAAGAATTTGAAATGTTGTATAAAGCCAACTGCATTGATATTTTCCTTTTGCCGACTTTTTCCTGAGTCCAGAGGGCTTCTAAGACGTGAAGGGGGCAAAGCCATGGTGGTCAAGAAGCCTGGGGTCTAGAGATGCTTAGGGCAGTGGTTGTCACCCACACAGAGGAGTCCTGGCAAATGTCTGGGAGGCCTGCTGGGGCAGTGACTAGGAATGTCCTACTTAGGATTCCCCTGAAAGCAGAACCTGAGGCGAGGGCTTGGGTGCCAGGAGTTGACTTGGGAGGTGATCCAAAGAGGCAGAAGTGAGGGAGCACTAAGTGTGACGCAGGAGGGAGGAATGTAAATAAAGTGTGTGTTAATAAGTGGATAACTGCTATGGACTGAATGTCCATGTCCCACCCAAAATTCATGTGTTGAAATTCAGCTCCCGATGTGATGGTATTAGGGGTTGGGGCCTCGGGGGGGTGATTTGGTCATGAGACCCCCACGGAGCTCCCTCTCTCTTTCTGCCTGGTGAGGGCAACAGGAGTTGATCATCTGCAACCTGGACGAAGTCCTTACTAGAACCTCACTGCACTCGCTCCCAGCCTTCCAGCCTTCAGAGCTGTGAGAAGTGAATTTCTGTTGTTTGCAAGTCACCGTGGTGCTTTGTCATGGCAGCCTAAATGGACGAGGACAATGACTGTGGGCAACTGGGTCTGGCTCCTGCATGGCACTCTCTGAAGAGCTGTATGGAATACACCTCAGAGAGGGTAGGGCTGATTTCAAACCATAGACCTTCCCCGATTACTTTATGCACATTCAAGTCTCATGAGTTGTTTGATTTGAAGAAAGGGGTTCGCAGCTGGAATCACTTCAAAGACACTTCTTTTTACAGTCTGTTGTCAACTCAGCACTAAGTGTGAAGATTCGCCATGTGCCCCCTGCACAATATACACCTGAATGTCTATCCCTAATTCTTGGCATGTGCCCGAAATTCCAGCATTAGAATCTCAATCACTCATTCACCTCACGCTGGACCTCTTCTAGGCTGTAAGTGCCCCTGAGTACCTTCCCGGAGTTGCTGTCATCCATACAACTCTCCGTGTTACTGTGACTGTTGGGGTCTCCAAAACTGGGTTTGATAGGGGAGAAAGAACTTGCGGACCCTGGGTAACAGAGGAGGGGGAAGGAGGAGCCCAGATCAGCCCAAGTTGGAGGGTTAAGAGTTCAAAGGTAGCATTTCTGTTCTTTATGGAAAGACAGGCTAGTCTAATGCTATGGAGCGGGTGGTGGTGACCAGGAGCAGAGGACCTGCCCCTGCCTGAGCCTCCCCATGTCAACCTTGGCAAGATCCTACTTTGCTAGATCTGTTTCCCCATCTATGAATTGAGAGTGGACAGTAAGTGTGGAGGAAAGTGTTGGCTTGGTCATGCTGCAAGTCTCTTCCCCAGGAACTATGGGGAATTGCACAACAGACCCACCTGAAAAGGAAGCTGGTTCCACGTGGAGCCAATGTTTATCAAGCAGAAACGCAGACCCAGTGTGGCAGGCTTCACAAGAGAAGAAGCTAGTTTGAATATTATGTCATCTATTAATTTTTAAAGGTTAACAATAAATCCAGACACTTTTAAACAAAGTATGGGCCAAATTTAATCATTCCTGGCACTATGACATCCACCAATGTTTCTTAGGCATTGGTGTTCAGGAGAACCTTCCGGAGTGAAAGTAAGTGTGTGTATTTCTGGACTTTGTCTACAGAGATCCTGCCCAAGGAACATTCATTATTTTTCTCTCTAATAAGAATTTTTGTCTTAAAGTCTATTTTGTCTAATATTAGTATGGCCACTCCAGCTCTCTTTTGGTTACTGTTTGCAGGGTATGTACTTTCCCATCCTTTTATTTTCAACATATTTGTGTCTTTGAATCTGAAATGTGTCTCTTGTAGACAGCATACAGTTTGGTCATTTTTTTTTGTAATCCATTCTGCCAGTTTCTGCCTTCTAATTAGAGAGTTTAATCCATTTATATTTAATGTAATTATCATTAAGATATGATTTACATCTGCCCTTTTGTTTTCTGTCATATGTCATTGTTCCTTTTCTACTGACTTTGTGTTAAATAGATCTTTTCTAGTGTACCCTTTTAATTTGCTTGTTGTTCTTTCTTTCCATATACTTTTAAAAGTTATTTTCTGAGTGCATGCCCTAGGGTGACAATTAGCATCTGCATTTGAAACACTCTAGTTTGAATGAATACTACCTTAATATGGATTACATATAGAAACTTTACTCCAGTGTAGCTCCATTTCCTCCCCAATCCTTTGTGTATTTATTGTCATACAAATTACATCTTTATACATTATAAACAAATCAACATAGTTTTATAATAATTTATGCTGTTGTCTTTTAAAAATATTGTTAAAAATTTTGGTAAAATATATGTAAAATAAAATTTATCATTTTAACTATTTTTAAGTGTACAGTTCAGTGGATGCTGAGCTGGGTCTTTAGCATCAGAAGGAAAGCCAGAGACAGGCATGAGTCTGCAGTGTAGGTATAAGGGAAAGCACTGTCAAGTGCCAGAGTCAGTTCCAGGGTGCAGCAGGGACTGGGACTAGTGACAGGCGAGGCCAAGAGAAATTGAAGTGTCTGATACACAACTATGTTCTACCCCACTCCTCGTCCTCCCCCCATGCTGGGTTATCACACGCAGTTATAACAAGCTCCCCAGGGCTTCTAATGTGCTCTCCAAGGCGCTGGTTTTAAGTCTTGAGTGCACATTGAAATCACCCGGCTTCCCGAGTCTGGCGTTCGCTTATTGCTAAACTCTGGAGGCTGGTTCTGGTCTAGGTCTCCCTCTGTTGGTTATCTTTAAGATTGCGGCAGGCTGTCCCCAGCCCTCAGCCTCCTTGGGTCTTTAATATGCAGGCAGCACCTCTTAATGCCTCTCTCTGTGATTCCCCAGAGGTGTGGGCCTCTGCTCCATTCTAGGCAAATCCTCGGAGCTGAGCTGAGCCTCAGCCTAGGTCTCTCCCTGGTGCCACAGACTCAGCCCTGATTAACCACTTCTGACCAAAGGGGAAATCAAGTCCCACGCCTCTCAGAAGTCCTCCCAATGACCCTCGGGCGAATGATAGTGTCCTCCCGGGTGCTCTCAAACCCGGGGCTGTGGGGTGGGGAACCTCTTGGGCTAAGATGATGCTTTGACCAGTGACTGACTCTGGCAACAGCAATGAGAGCTGACCTTCAGCGAATACGTACTCTCTGCCAGGCACTGCCCTACGTGCTCAGCATGATGAACTCGCTGCTCATCACAGCTCTACGAGGTGGGCTGTTAGTATCTGCATTGTGCAAAGGGAGAAACTGAGGCATGGACTTGAAACCATTTTCCCAGTCGTAAGTCAGCTGAGAGGCAGAGCTGAGACCCCCAGGCGGTCTGGTGCTCTAATAACAGTATGTGTACTGTTTCCGTGCCCAGGCACTGCTAGCTCCTTGACATTCATATCACATTTAGTTCTGCAGAGGAGAAGTTGGGACTCAGAGAAAACGGAGGAGGCTTGGGTTTGCTCCTCTGAGCCAGGGCACCTGTGCTGGCAGAACTCACGAGCATGCCCAGGGGGCTGCCTCGGTGAATTTGGTGCCATAAAAGCGCATGTGCCTCGTGATTCCGAGCCAGCGTCTTTGGGGGATGGGTTGTGAGAATCTACATGGTAACAAGCACCCCAGTTGATCCTGATTTCCAGAAAAGTTTGAGAAACCGTACTGCCCTCCCCCCTCCACCCATTACAGCACAGCCACCTTAGATAAAAGACACTGGGGCATGTGTCCCTTTCCCTCCATCACAGCTAGCAATGCTTTTGCTGCAGGTGATAGAATCCCTGACACCACAGGCACCCCTCGGAGAGATGGTGGGCTTGGTTCCCGAGCACCGCAATAAAGTGAGTATCACAATAAAGTGAGTCGAAATCTTTTTGCTGGTGGAGGGTCTTGCCTTCAGTTTCTAAAAATGGCATTTGTGAAACGCAATAAAACAGGCATGCCTGGCGTGGCTAAAAGTCTAAAGACCTTTATTGTTTATTTAATAAAATGCCCGGAATTAGTCTATCGATTGGCAAAGCTGCTCAGCAGTGCCATCGAATACCTCGTTCCTTCAAGCTGTGCTGCTCTCCTGGTTGATGACTTTTCTTCTTCATGCTGTTTGCTTCATAGTCTCGAGATGACTGCTGCCGATCCAGGAATCTTGTCCCCAGTCCCCAGGCTTTGTTGCAGCAAGAGCATAGTCACATGACTTAGGCTCAGCCAAAGTTTTCACTTGGAATTTTTTTTTATTAATCCTCACTTGAGGATATAGTGCCACTGATTTTTTTAAAAAATTATTTCAGAGAGAGTGAAGGGGGGGAGAGAGAAAGAGAGAGAGAAACATTGATGTGAGAAAGACACATTGATTGATTGCCTCCCGCATGTGCCCCAACCAGGGCTAAGACCTAACCTGCAACCCAGGTATGTGCCCTTGACTGGGAATCGAACCTGCGATCCTTTGGTGCTCAGGCTGACACTCTAACCACTGAGCCACGCCAGCCAGGGTTCACCTGGAATTTTTAATTGGGAGCTGGTGGCAAAATTAGTGGGGAAAATGGGGACTCCATTCTGGGGGACAATGGGGATGGTTCTGGTGGCCATAATGGATTCTGGTGCCGTATTATTCTTAGGTCAAGCAGTGATGTTCTCACTCCAAGGGCTTTTGTAATGCAGTTTTGACTGTGATTGCTGGCTGCATGGCCACTCTTTGCTCCTGCCCACTTTCTGAGCCTGATCATTCAAGTTCACCACTTAGTCTGTGAGTTTCCTGATGTCCTTTTAATATTTTTCCTCTCCTTGACCCAGCCAGACTCAGTTTCCACTGTTCACAGACAGGTCTGCCATGCTGGGCTCCTTCAGATCTCAGTGGCTAGACACGAGTCTCTCCTCAGAGAGGCCTTCCCTGGCCACGGTGCAGGGGGCGGAGGCTGGGGTGGGGGGGGCGGCGGAGGTAGCCTACTATTCCCCAGGACAACACCTGCGTCTTCTCTTCATTGCACTTATCACAACCTGCCAATAATTTATTTGCTTGTTTATCTGCTTCTGTCTGGCTCCCCATTAGGATGTAAACTCCATGAGGTTATGAACCCCTGTGTGTGCAGAGCAGAGCCTGACACGTAGTAGGTGTTCCAGATGGTTGTGGTTGACTGAATAGATGCATAGATGACTGATGGACCCAAGGATAGTTAAAGGGGCTTGTTTTGGGACAGGACTGTCCTGGGAGTCCCAGATGGCAGATAACCCCTTATCTCAGGCCACATTCCTCCCTCCAGAGTCACCTGGAGTCTGCGGGTTCTCTTCCTTCATGATGAGCGGGTGCATCATTGCCTATCAGAGAGCATTGAGAAGAGGAAACCCTATTCTTAAACAGATCATGAAGCTTGTCCCTCCCCAGGGTGGGGTGTCTGCCTCCCCAACAAACAGGCACCAACCGAGCATAGTGGGGAACAATAATAAAATAATATTTACAGAAGAGGCTATCATTAACTTTAATGCCTATGTATAATGCCTACGTAGACCTTGATAACCCTGGAAATAACAGGGAGAAATGAATGACACTGGGAAATCACTCACCAGGCTGACATGTGTTGGAACCTGTTCCAGTTACTATTGTTTCATAACAAACTACCCCCAAACTTCGTGGCGTAAAACGTCCACTCACTGTTCCTATGAGCGAGGATTTCAGGCCTGGAGTGGCTTGCCTCAGCTCCACAGTGCCTGGGGCCTCAGCTCGAAGACTCAATGTAACAGTGTCTGGGGCTGAAGCTACCTGGGCTGAGCTCATTTGCTCACATGGTTGGCGGTTGATTCTGCTGGGTGGCAGGAATCTTAGCTGGGCTTCGGTGGGCACACCTACGTGAGACCTTTCTGTGGGGCCCCCCATTCTCACAGCACAGAGGCTGGGTCTGAAGTGAGCGTCCTGAGGCAGGAGCCAGGAACCAGGTTGTCCTTCATGATGCATCAGACGCCACATGGCATCACTTACTTGCATGGTGTTCACCAGGGTGGTCTCCAAGGACAGCCTTTGGAGAAGAGAGGGAACGAGGTTCCACCTTCTGATTGAGCCTGGAGGAGCTAAGGAATCAGGGCTGTTATGGTTTTGGAAAATATAATCTGCCACAAGGCCCCTTTCCCTGCTCCCTTCTGAAGTTAACTCTGGCCAGTCAATGTCCGGCTTTTCCCAGTCCTCGTCCGCCTGCCTCTCCGGCCCCATGGCCCTCAGGTTTAGTAACACATCTTCCCTTCTCATGTCCCTCCCTGCCAGGGTCCACGGCCCTTTGCCTGCAATGAGGAAATCTTAACACCCTTCAAGGCCAGTTCATCTGAGAAGTCCTCCCTGATTGCTCTAGCCTCCCAGCTGGACCTCAAGTGTCCCTTTCCCTCCCAAACCTGCTCTTTCTTGGCAGGACTGTGTGGAACTCTGAGAACCTGGGAGCCAGACCAATGAAGATACTTCGGCTTAGGCCAGGGTCCCGGCACAATAGTTAGGGAGTCAGACACAGCGAGGTGGCTGAGGGGGGCCAGCGTGAGCCTGGAGGGGCAGGTAAAGAGCGTCCACTTTACAGCCCCCAGGGCTCAGCTGGTGGAGGGAGAACCACAGGGCTGTGTTCCCTGAGACCTGGAGTCACCAAGTGGCTCAGGCTGACAGGTGTCTGCATCAGTTGGATGACTCCTTTCTCACATCCCCAATCTAGTCTCTCAGGATGTCTGGTGGGTTCTGCCTTCTCTACCACTTCACACCCAACCCGTTGCTACCATCTTGGTCCGAGTCACTATCACCTCTTACCTGAGTGGTTATAGTAGCCTCCTCACGGGACTGCCTGCCAGAACGAGAGGGTACTTTCTTTATTCTTAATTTTTTCTTTTCACATTTTGGACTCCCTTCACCCATTTCTCCTACTCCTGCCCCTGCCAACCCCTCCGCCCCGCACCTCTGGCAATCACCAATCTGTTCTCTGTGTCGGGACCTTGTTTTTGTTTGTTTGCCTGTTTTAGATTCCACGTATAACAGAGACCATATGATATGTGTCTCTCTCTGGCTGACTTATTTCACTTAGCATAATGCCCTGGAGGGCCATCCATGTTGTCTTAAATGGCAAGATTTCATTCTTTTTTTATGGCTGAATAAAAAATATATATATTGGATATCTCACAATTTCTTTATCCATGTATTCATCTATAGATACTTAGATTGTTTTCTTATCTTGGCAATTGTAAATAATGCTGCAGTGAACATAGGGGTGCATATATCTTTTAAAGTTAGTGTTTTTGTTTTCTTTGGATAGATACCCAGAACTGGAACTGCTGGATCATATGGCAGTTCTATTTTTAGTTTTTTTTCAGGAACCTCCTTTATACTGTTATCTGTAGTGGCTGCACCAAGTTACATTGAGAGGGTTTCTTGTAAAACACAAGTCAGATCCTGTCACTTCTCTGCTCGAACCCCCTTGGGTTCCCCATCTCATGCCGGATAGAAGCTGATCCTTACATGACTGTCGCCTACAAGGCCCTGTTATGTCTCTGTCTTCATTTTGATTACTCTCGCCCTCCCTGCTCCACTGCAGAACATGGCTCCCTTTATGTTCTGCATGCACAGCGGGGACATCACCCACCTCACGGCCTTGCCCGCGTTCCTGGAACTCAGTCCTTCAGATCTGCACATGGCTTGACCTCATAGTTCATGTCAAGTTTCTACCCGAATATCACCTACTAGAAGGGCTGCCCGCCCCAACACATATCCCCTCCTGACTTTTATTCATCACCGTACTAATGACTACTTGAATTTGTGTTTTGTATTTATTCGGTTACTCATTTTGTTATCTGCCTTCCCACATCCACTCCCATACCCCGTCTCCCTATGATAACAGACTTCCAGAAAATACAGATCCCCTGGTCACAGTAGGGGCTCATTAATCACTCAGTATGACTCAGTGGAATCTTGGCCATGGAACTTAATGGCTTGGTCACCCTGGGAGGTGACATCTTCCAGGATCAGGCGAGTTGCATGGCCAACGTCATACACAAAAATACCAAAGTCTTTCTGTAGAGTTACGCCCCCAGTCCTCACAGGCTGGGCCTTCAGTCTGAAGCAGTGGCCATCAGATGACTTTCCAAAAGCCTGTAATTCCCACAATGAAACTGTAGGAGGCACCTCACTCTCATCCCTCAAGGGCCCAGAAATATTGGGAAGGGCACACTCCAAACTGAGAACTTGAGTGTCCTCTGGGGAAAAGTGCCAGAGGGGTGGGGAACGGGGACTGCCTATTTTTTCACTCTCTTATATGCTATGTATTTAAGGAATTTTTATGCTGTGAATATATTTGTATAAAATATTTTGATAAGTGTGTCTGTATATATTTACAATTTTTTATTTTATAAGAGGTATAGCTAATTTGCGACACAGTGGCCATAAAATCTGAATACATAAGCGACATTATTTTATTTTGTTCCAGATTAAAACCCCTTGATTACATTTTCTGAGCCATGCTAAAGGTGGAGGTTTATTCAGTGAAAATCAGAGACACAGATCACCCAAGGCAGCATGCGGGATTAATGAAATTGCCATGTTAACACTCCAATTTCACGCAGTTTTGTGTAGTATAACAAGTTGTGCTGTGTACAAATTCAAGCCTGGTCCTGGCCGGTGTGGCTCAATTGGTTGAGCATTGTCCCATGAACCTAGAGGTCGCTGATTCGATTCCCAGTCATGACATGAAGAAGAAGAAGAAGAAGAAGAAGAAGAAGAAGAAGAAGAAGAAGAAGAAGAAGAAGAAGAGAAAAATTTAAGCATTTGCCCTCACTGGTGTTGCTAACTGGTTAGAGAGCCTGGCTCCATGCGTTAAAAGGCAGCAGGTTTGATTCCTGGTCAAGGGCACCTACCTGGGTTGCAGGTTCAATCCCTAGCTCTGGTTGGGATGGTGTGCTCTCTCTCTCCGTCCCTTCTTTCCACTCTCTCTAAAAGTCAATGGAAAAAATGTCCTCGGATGAGGATTAACCACAACAACAGCAACAAAAAGGAATTCGAGCACATTGAACTTATCATGTACTATCAGTGAACATATTATATATTATAATGTGCTATCAAGAAATCATTTTCTGCACATTTGCCTGTCTCCACCCTGTAGATTGGCAGTCATTGACAGATAAACAAGTGATTCCAAAAAGTGCTGCAGGTTATTATAAAGTATGTGAAAGCTAGTACGAGAGCAAAAAATGGAGAGAACCTGCTCTAAGCCGCCGTTTCCCCATTGGTACAAGGTGGGCAAATAATGTCCACCGTTGAAGGCTGCTTGGAGGAGAAGTGACATGATGGCAGGATGAGTCCCTACTACCGGACAAGCTCCAGGGCATGCTGGTTGAATCCAGGTGTTTGAGGCTGGCTCCTAGGCAGGTGTGATCAAGGTTGGGAGAAGGGGTGGCCTCCAGCCAGAAGCAGGATGGGCGAAGAGGCTGCTTCTGGGAAGACGGACTCTTAATTTCCCCGTCTATGGCACTTCTTCAGTATAGAAATGGGAGCACATGACGAATCATTACGGGAAAGTAGGCTGGGAGGCGGCATCCAAGAATGCCTCTGGAGGGCTGGGCGCCATAGCAGAGACAGACTTCCTTTAGTTTTTGCATCACTGACTTCCCTGTCTCTTTGTAAACCTGTGATGGCATTTATCGCTGGCTACCTTCTTAGACTTTGTGTAGGTTGCCCTGCATAACATAGAGGTCAGGCATGAGAGCCAGTCTGCCTGGGCACTGACGCTGCATGTCCTAAGTCTCCTGTGACCTAATTCACTCCCTCACCTGTAAAATAAAGATACTTTTCATCCTTTCCTCAAAGGAGTGTTGAAAGGATACATACACATTTATAAAATGCTTAGAATAGACTTCGGCGTCCAGCATGTAAGAAGCTTGGAAGTTGCCACTCTCTCCTAATAAGTAAAAAGCTGAAAGAATTGAGACATCAACAACTCTTCTTGAAACTGAAAGAGAAGTGAGGCCATAGAGTAAACTCCTGCCCCCGAATCTAAGGGACTGACAGGCGAGTACAGAGAATCTCAACTTACAGGAGCAGAAGCCAGGAGCAGCAGCCTCCATGGGGAACCAGTGCAGAGGAGGGAAGCCTGAACGGTGATTGACAGATTGCTGGAGGCTCAGTGTGGACAAGTCTGAGGGTTAAAAACTCCATGGGGACCCCGTCCCAGAGGAGCCCGACACTTTTGTGAGTTCACCTCCAGGAGCCCTATCCGGTCCTCACAGTGAAAATCAGAGCCAAATCGCCTCATGCTTCAGGCAGGGGTCAGAGGTAGGCAGCTATTTAAAAAGACTCCAGA